ATTTCTGAAGAAGGGTCTCGGCCTGAAATGTCAGCCTTCCTGCTCCTCTGATGCTGCTTGGCCTGCTGTGTTCATCCAGCTCTACACCTTGTTATCTCAGATTCTCCAGCATCTGCAGTTCCTACTAAAAAACTGTGGAAATCTGGTTACATGGTTTAATTAGTTGGCTACTACATACCTGTTGGAGGAGGCCGAGTTGGTTCTGGATGAAATGCAAATGAAGAACTGATGCACTCCTTTGTGAAAGTGATGTCATCAAGTGCTATGACTCCTTTTGACCCTTTTCTGACCCATCCTTCTAACATGATCTCAAAGTCCTCGTCAGCGCTAAGTCTGATTTCTGCTTGCTGCCAGTAATGGCCTTGGTCCCCAGTCAAATTGAACAGTAATGTTTGATTATGGGATAGAGTCACTAGGTAAACTGTTAACGATCCAAAAATCTCTCCCCCCATGTAGTAGTAGAAAATAATCTGAAAGAGAAATCAAAAGCATTGTCAACCAGAGAGCTTTGCGAGTAATGAGTTTCAGATTTTCAGTGATTACTATAACTTTGAGCTGGGACAGACAGTAAGGATTTGATACAGGAAAGGGTGAGAGAGACTCAGCAGTTCTGGCAGAATCTGTGGAGAGAAAACCAGCATTAATGTTTTGTCTCTTCTTTGGAACTCATACGTTAAATATTGGATAATTTGCCCACAATTCTACAGAAGTATTGTTAACCACAACACAAATTCTGTTCTGCAATAGTTGTCCGAAAACATCAAGCCAGCTATACAGCTTATGCCTGGAGCAGTGATAGGGGAGGTAAAAGGCAAGTTGAAAACTTAGGTGCAGAGACAATATGCAGAAATTTCTCTGTGAGCTTCTGAATGCCTGCGTCAGGCTGAAATAGAAACAGAAACTTGCATTCTGTGAGAAACAGCCACTCTTTGTGATTTTACCTGGAAGGCTAACAAAGGCTAGAGGGTGGGCTTGCTGTCTGAATAAAAATGGTAAAAAGGGCTCTCGAAACTGAAGAAGTAATCAATGGTCTTCCAGCTTGATAGGAGCTGTAGGCTATGGTGGAGGGCAACTGAGGGGTTGGGTATTTCAAGATTATTGCATCCCTCCCTTCGACATTTTATAATGTAAATTTAAAAGTGCCTTTTAAGCCAAGAGAACACTTTGAGCTATGAGACTGGGGTGATTTTTTTACAGAATGGTCTGTGGCTGCCATACAACCCAAGGAGATGAGGAAGGCCTCAAGGCCTGCCTGGAGCATTAACAGCCACCCTCACCACCACTGTTACCAAAACCCAACACCCTCCACCTCCACCACACCCAGCCTGCCACAGCCCATCACTTAAAATAAACCCCTGTCATCTCGAAACTTGGAGGCTGGCTGAAAGATCCCAATTCTGGCCCAGGTGAAGGGAAGATTCAAATCCAATATTTCAGTGAGTCAGTTGTCAGTCTGTGGAACACATTCCCTCAGAAGAATGCAGAAACAGTTTGTCTTAATTCATTAAAATGTAGATGAGATTGATTTATTTCAGAAGATAATGGTTTGGACCATAATAGGTGAGTAAATTGAGACATAACATGTAGTAAACATTGGGAGGAACTGTTGACTTTGCACCTAATGGCTTAAATTCTGCTGTACACCATAGTCTTGCAAACCCAGTCTGACAAGATTACTAACTCTCATAGGTGTTGTCAAATGTTTTTCCATTCTCTCACAATTTTTAAATAATATACTTACCTGCACAACATCCTATCACATAATCCTTTACATAATTATCTAGTTTTCTCACTTAATTTGTAGAAAGATAATCATAACAACAATTAATACTAATGACATTCATAGAATGCTATAGGAAAGGGGGAGTCTACTTGGCCTTTTGCACCTATTTGAAAGAGCTAACCAATTAGTAACCCCCACCCCCACTACATTCCCCCTGAACACAGACACACTCACATATTATTATATTTCTTATGACCCTGCTGACATTTTTCTTCAGGTTTTCATTGGATTCCCTTTTGCAAGTTACAAACTTTTGTGGCAGTGAAATCCAGATCACAACAACTCACTATTGTTGTTTTTCACTATATCACCTCTGGTTCTTGAGCTTCCACTTTTGATGATTTATGTTGGTACAACCCCAGGTGTTCCTTCATAATGGTACCATTTATGTTGCACCATCTCTCTTCATTTTCCCATCAAAATGTATAAACCTCACAATTCTCAATGTTGAATTAAATATGCCATGTTTCAGCATATAACACCAGTCTGGCTATGTCCTCCTGAGGTCAGTTATCAGCTTACTCATTGTTTAATGCCACTTCCAATTATCATGTAATCTGCAAACTTTGAAATTATACCCAGAATCTAACCAAGGTCCTATGCAATTGAAACAAGGCTTGTTTCAATTAGTCTTGTACTCAAATCCTCTTACCATAAAACTAACTTGCGATTAGTCTTCCAAATAGCTTGCTGCTCCTGCATGTTAGCCTTCACCTATTGACTAAGACACCCAAGTCCCTTTGCACATCTCCATTTAGGAAATATTCTGCACATCTGTCTTCACATTTTCCATATTATATTCTATCGGCTGTGTTCTTGCCCAATCACTAAGCCTGTCCAAATCCTTCTAAAAATGTTTACATCTCCTCACAACATGTATTCCTGCTTGTTTAGAATTATCTGCAACTTTGGGAATGTAACTTTTGGCCCTGACCTCCAAATCATTGATAAGTATTGAGAACGGTTCGGGCCTAACGCTTCGAACCTTAAAAGGTACCTCTCTAGTTGTTATGGACCAACCAGACCAGGTTCCCTCAAAATATTTCAAGAAGATGGCCTAGACCCTAACATTTTCTTATTTTAAAGGCAAATGTGAAGTACCATGTTGTAGATACAATTTGACCTGTCAAACTAACCGACGTTAAGAGAAACACAATTTATTTAAACACTATAGCTAACATACAAATAAAGAAAGAGGAATTTCGAATAACTTAACTCTATTGGTAAACTTAACACAATAATAGATGCAATAACTATTACTAACTAACTGTTTCAATGTAGTAACATTGCATAAACACACTCCTTGGCAAAAAGAAAAATTCAGAAAAATATATTTGTTTCACAGGTAAGCCAGCATTAAAGAGAAACCCCAACTTCTAGCTGAAAACAAGCGATCGAAAAGATAGCTTCTACTTCTTCAAGCCCACAACATCAGTTGCTTGAAGCCAAACCTAAACACTATTAAAAAACTAGAAAGCCTGGTCTCTGAGAGCCAGTCACACCTGGCCAGTTTGCCTTCATTGTTCCAACTTTTAAAAAAAACTCAAGGCCTCACAAGTTGTTTATCTTCTCACAGACAGCTCCATACCCCTCATTCAATCTCTCTTAAAAAAAGGGCAAAATAGCCTCTTAAAGCCATAGCATCATCACATAGTCACAATCTGCCAATGCAAGAATGATCCATTTACTCCTACTCTCAGTTTCTGTCTGTTAGACAATCATTAAATTAATACCAGGAGATTATCTCCCATCTCATTAATTTAACTTTTCAAACCAATTGTCTGTGGGAAACTTATCAAAAGCCTTTTGAAAATCTAACAATACTATTTCTATCAATACCCTTTATTAATTTTGTTAGTAACATCCTCAAATACTTGAGTAAGTTGGGTACTGCTGAGGGGAATATCCTCTCAGGAAAGTAGCAAAAGCTGAATTTGTTGCACCGTGCTCGGCTCTGCTGCACAGGGGAGGAGTAAAAAGTGTGGGAATGTAGTGGTTATAGGGGATTCAGCTGTAAGGAGAAGAGACAAGCATTTCTGTGACCCCAGTGGAGACTCCTGGATGTGGCCTCCCTGGTGCTAAGGTTAAAGCTACAGGACATTCTGAAAGGGGAGGTTGAACAGCCAATGGTGGCGGTATGTTTCATACAAACAACATAGGTAAAAGAAAGAAAAACTGGGAATTACAGTCCAGTCAAATTGACGTCGACAGTGGGGAAAATGCTAGAATCCATTATAAAAGATTTAATAGCAGATCATTTGGAAACCAGTGGTAGGTTCAGACAGACATAGCATGGATTTATGGGAAGGAAATCATGCTTGACAAATCTACTGGAATTCTTTAAGATGTAACTAGTGGAATTGATGAGGGGAACCAATGGTTTATTTGGACTTTCAGAAGGGACTTTCACCTTTGACAAAGTTCCACATGGGAGATTATCATGTCAAATTAAAGTGCATGGGAATAGTGGCAGTGTACTGAGATGGACAGAAAACTGGTTGACAGATAGGAAACAAAGAGTAGGAAAAAATGGGTGTCTTTCCAAATAGCAGACAGTAATGAATTGGATGCTGCAGGAAGCAGTGCTAGGACCAACCTCCTGTGGGCAATTTATCAAAAGCTTTCTGAAAATCCAACTACACTATGTTCATTGATGTCCCTTTATTAATTTTGTTAGTGACATCCTCAAAATATCAAACAAGTTAGAATCATAGAATCCCTACAGTGTGGAAGCAGGCCATTCGGCCAATTGAGTCCACACTGACCCTTTGACAAGCAACCCACTCAGACACACCCGCCAACCTTATCCTTGTAACATTGCATTTCTCATGGCTAATCTACCTACCTTGCACATTTCTGAACATTACGGGCAATTTAGCATGGCCAATTCCACCTAGCCTGCATGTCTTTGGACTGTGGGAGTAAACAGGAGCACTCAGAGGAAACCCATGCAGACACAGGGAAGTTGGGTAATGTTGAGGGGAATGTCCTCTCAGGAAAGTAGGAATAGTCAAATTTCTTGCACCGGCTATTCACATTATATATCAATGATTTAGAGGAGGGGACTAAATGTAATATGTCCAAATTTGCAGATGACACAAAGCTAGGTGGGAGAGTAAGTTGTGAGGAGGATGCAGAGATGTTGCAGCATGATTTTGATAAGCTGAGTGAATGGGCAAACACATGGCAGATGGTGTATAATGTAGATAAATATAAAGTTATCCACTTTGGTGCCAAAACCGGGGTTGGGGGCGGGGGCGGGGTGGGGGGGGGGGGGGGGGGGGAGGTGGGGGGAGGGGGGGGGAGGTGGTGGGGAGGGGGGGGGGGGGGGGTGGTGGTGGTGGTGGTGTGGTTGTGGGGGGATGCGCAGATTATTAACTGAATGGCTGTAAATTGAGAGAAGGGAATATGCAACAAGACTTAGGTGACCCTGTACAGCAATGGCCAAAGGTAAGTGCACAGGTGCAGCAGGCAGTGAAGAAAACAAGTGGTACGTTGGCTTTACAAGTGAGAAGCTTTGAATATAAGAGCAGGGATGTCTTGCAGTAATTGCACAAGGTTTTAGTGAGACCACATCCGGAATATTGTGTGCAGTTTTGATCTACTTACCCGAGGAAGGATGTTCTGGCTATGGAAGGAGTGCAGTGAAGGTTTACAGACTGATCCCCTGACTATGGAATCCCTTAT